TCCATAATGAGTCGGACTTGAAATCATGACTATCGACTGGATCCAGGGGGACGTTTCACAAAAACTTGTCATAAGTGACAAATGACAATTTGTGTTATAAGCTACTGAAATCCTTGCTTCTGATTGGTTATCAGCAGCTTTGTCACTGATTTTTGTTATTTGTCATTCAAAAAAGGCTTTGTGAAACGCCCCCCAGATCTTAGTTTAATTATCACTCGGCTGATAGCATGCATCATTTCTTATTAAACACTCCATGCCCTACACAACATAATGCCCCCATCGCAAAATTTCTCTTGATTTTAACGTGGGGGGGGGGGGGAGGGGATTTAAAATGAGGGAATAGGTAGGTTGAAAGATTTGAACCCCATCGTGCAATATGTAGGCCTACGTATTTCTGACTGCAAATCCTTTCTGTCACCTGGAACAGGTCTTATTTTATTTATTATTAGACCTATATCCTAATTTGATTTCTGAGAACACAACATGTATTTTTGGGGCTGAGCATATTATCACCATAGCAACGGGAAAAAGAGACAATACACCAGTTTACGGTTACATCAGTGCGCATGCGCAGACATGTAATTGGCTTTGAAACAATGATGATGTGCGCGCACAACGCAGCGCGCAGGCAGTGATGTCATCATAATTTGCATGGGCGCAATCTTAATTTACGCATAAATACATGACCTCTGGGTCATTGGCTTTGTTTACTCGCAAATTAAAATGGCGCCCCTAACCGTAAACTGGTGTATTATGTATTATCAAAATATAACAAAACTGCATCATCTCACACTTCCAGTAGTCATGTTCTGGATGATATCACCTAATCACGATGTATTTTTTTTTTTCGCCCTCTGTGTTACCTTTGCTTGGGGAAGACAGCCCTTAGCAACCAAAATTGCCATGTTAGCTCATAACAAAGTGTTAACTTTCGAGCTCTTTAACGTGTTGACTAAGAAAAGCAATGAACTTCGAATATCGATATAATATTTATCATCTTTCTGGATAGATTTCCTGAAATTCCTTGGTTAGATGTCCTGATAAGCTTTTAGATATGAAAAAAAAATAGGTATTTTGGCGCAACGTATACCCTTTTGTTTTTTTAATGGTAAAAATCAAATTTTTTGATTCACAATTGGTATACATATCATCCCCAAAACTATTAAACAAATGTCTGGTTTAAAAGTTAATGTCGAAAAGTGTAATGTTATAAGACTTGGAATTGTACAATGCCTATGTACCAAAACATTCCTTTTAAATGGTCCACAGATTACTTTTTATACTTAGGCATAAATATTCCATTGAATAATAATTATAATCTCTACAACCTAAATTTTGTCCCAAAACTGGATGAAATAAAGTCTCTTTTGAATATTTGGAATGGCAGATCCCTTACACTATATGGGAAGATTGTAGTACTCAAAACATTGATAATTCCTAAACTGAACTTTCTGTTATGTACTGTCTCAAACCCACCAATTACATTTTTTAACGAAATTCAACAGTTGTTGTTTAAATTTGTATGGATTAAACAAAAGTTGATAAAATTAAACGTTCTTTGTTTTAATATACAATGACTCAAAGGATGGTGGTCTAAAAATGCCACATATGTTATGTTTTAATCGAGCATTGAAAATTACATGGATCAAACGATTCTTAGATGAAGAAAATAACGGGAAATGGAAGTGTTTTTTTTTAACAGTCCCTTCGTTACATTGGCGAGGAAAACTTTACTTTATGGAACTTGTGCCAGAATCAAAATAATCCAAATATTGAGTCTTTTTGGAATTATGTTTTAATTTCATGGTCATAGTACAGATACTACAACCCTGTTAAGTTTAAGTAAATACTATCCCAACCTCTGTGGTTCAATTCTCACATTTCAGCTGATGTAAAACCAATATATGTCAACAAATGGTTTAATTCGTTAAGTAAGTTATAGTAAGTTAAGTTATTCCTTGAGTAACATTTCTGATATTTTTACACGTGACGGACATTTAAAAACTTTTGAAGTTATTGTTCAGAAATATGGTTATGTACCTATTATGGTATATAATTCGCTTATATCTGCTGTCCCAAATGAATGGAAAGGGGAAATAGGGAGCCAATCTATAGAAAAAATGAATTAAGTGAACCACATGATGACCGATTGCACAATTTCCTTAAACACAAAAGAGTTTCTAAACTATGTTACTCTACTTGTATACGTAGTTATACTATTGCTTTGTCAGAAACAGATCAACAACTCAAATGGGAAAATCATCTGTCACTACAATTATCGGATGATGAAATATGAAGGTCTCGTTCTAATTTGATATATAGATCATCAATAAGATAACAAATTGAGAAATTTTCAATTAAACTTTATTCATTGGGAAATTGCTACGAATTACTTCTTGTATAAAATCGGAATTTTTGATCAAAATATATGTAAATTTTGTAATCAAAATGAACAAACAATATTTCATTATCTGTTGAATGCCTTTTTGTCTCAAGATTCTTGAATGATCTGTACAGCTGGCTAATTTCTAAAAAGATCAGAATTGAATTCCATAAGGAAAATGGAATAGTATAATTGAAATCTTACGGAATGTTATGTTATGAGATGCTCCATTTCACTCAATCATGTCTCTGTATCATTGAAGAAAAAAAATATGTATTTATTTTGAGATTATCTTTTCGACAATGTGAATTGCAAATAAAACTTATCCAAAAACAATTATAAATTGAATGTGATATATATCATGGCATCACGGTAAAATGAGGTTCTTTTAGAGAGTGATTTCTAGAATTGTACATCATTATTCATACATGGCGGCCTTTTTAAAAAATGGCCGCCATTTGTTTTCAGAATCATATTTTCAAGGTAGAAATTGTGCAGGGCGGCCCCTGGTGATGTATGAGATCTGGAGCATTTTCTTAAGATGGAGTTTAGCAGGTTTAAGAAAGATATTTTCAACAATATTTTAAAATCTATGAAATATATTTAGACGTTTCAATAACAAAATATAATAATAATAATAATAATAATATTGGATTCTTATATAGCGCACGTATTGACCTATATATGAGATGTATGCATGGGCGTAGATCTGTAATTGATACCTATTGTTCAGGGGGGATGATCTATTTATTCATCCCCCCTGAACAATAGGTATTACGTAAGGATTGACGCCCATGACAACTGTAGGGAGCTGTACAAGAAAGGGCAGCAACGGTTATATTTCCTTCGTAAACTCAATTCCTTTCACGTAGACCGCACTATAATGTACCTTTTCTACAAGTCTGTGATAGAGAGCATAATAGTAAACGACTGCGTTGTGTGGTACACAGCATGTCGAAAAGTAGACTTTTCTATGCTAAAAAGAATTGTTAAACAAGCGGAAAAAATTGTAGGGAAGAATCTAGACTTCGAAGATATATGTAGAAATAGAGTACTTGACAAGGCGAAATCAATCTACCATAACAGCCGTCACCCCTTAAATAATAATTATGTAGCCCTGAGGTCAGGAAACAGGTTAAGATCTCTAAGGTCCAGAACGAGCAGGTTTCTAAATTCATTTGTGCCAAGCTCAATCAGGCTGATGAACGAGGAGGGTTTAATCTAAGTCTGAATAATAAACTGAATTAATCTGAATTGTGAATTTAATTTGAACTGTGAACCTAACTTAATCTGAATTATGACTGAATGTAATCACCTATTTTTGAATTATAACTTGCATTTAATCTGAATTGTAAACTAATTTAATTTGAATTATGAATTCTAGGTGATCGGAACTTGAGTTGAATTATATTATGAAATATGAACTGAACTGGTTTGAAGAATAAATTGTATTGCACTTGAATTGTGAATTTAATTTAACCCGAAATATGAATATAATTTAATTACTTAGTTTGAATTATATATTGAATTTGATTTGAATTGTTAATTTTATATTAATCTGAACTACGAATTGAATTGATGTGAATTATAGATTGTAGTAATCTGAATTATGAATTTATTTAACCTGAATTGTCAATTTAATTTAATCTGAATTATGAATTGTACGCGATCGGGATTTGAATTGAATTATTTCCTGAAATATGAATTGAATCTGTCTGAATCATGAACTGTATTGAATTTGAATTGTGAACTTAACTTAACCCGAATTATGAATTTAATTTTATTACTTAGTTTGAATTATAAACTGAATGTGATTTGATTTTGTTAATTATATTTTAATTTGAATTACGAACTGAATGTGATCGGGATTTGAAATGGATTTGATCTGAATTACGAATTGAATTAGTTTAAATTTTTAATTGTATTTAATCTGAATTGCGAATGAATTTAATCCGAACTTGAACTGAATTTAACTACTTAATTTATGAATCGAATTTTAGTCTGCATGTTGAACTATCGCATTTGTTGTTACCTATGTCCAAGTTAAATGTTCTACTCTGTACCCATATGTATCTTATTGATGTTTATAATGTGTAACCTTGTACCGACATGCAAATGAAACAAATTTCCAATCATTGGACAATAAATTTGAATATGAATATGAATATGAATGGTTGTATGCAGCCCTGCATATCAACAGGAATCGACTTATATTTGGATGTCACCCCACCTTAAGCGGCACATTGATAGCCATTGAAAGGTATCAACCATGTATTGTAATTTTGGGTGGATATACCGTCTTATTGTTACTTCATAAAGCTTTGTAAAGACCTAAAAAATCTTTGATTCTTTTCATTTGAAACTCATGAATTTCCCTTGTAAGAGATCTCTTATACCGGCAGGTATTATTGTGTGTCTTTCAAGTGTTCTAGATAGCCTATCAGTAGGGACTTTTAGATTTGCACGACGAGAACATGGACTGCCACATGTGACATCCTGTTACGGCAATGTGACGTTCTTTTTATAAGGCACTGGCAGTGCCCGGCAATGCCTTAAAAGGATGTCACACATATATAACAGTCCACGTTTTCGTCGTCAAATCTACAAGTCCCTATTATAGTTCATGGTTATACTGTAACACAATATTGCTCTGACATAAATGTTCGCGCGTGTTCTGAATGTACGCGCGGTCATTCCGCCTCGCTGAATTCTAGCTGTACAATGACGTTGAACTTGATCATTGCATAAAGCTTGCATGCTACACTCGACGTTGGCAATACAGACAGACAGGCGGCCTGTTCATACTGCATACGACTAGTGGAAAACCCGCTAATACGCGCCCTACATAGATGCATTGCAAGGTACGTACAACCTAGGTCTCCAATAATTGATCGCGTCTTATATCCAAGAACGGTTGTGATTGTATAGGTATTTAGGACACACTACATATGCATTATATTACCAACGGGATCACCAATTGCCTTCTAGTATTTCTTCTGATCTTCATGCATTTTATGTGTATATTTGCACATGATTTCTACAAGGGAATTTTCAAGATTTGGTGTCGTGTTCCACCAACATTTTTGTAAAGTTGCACGTTTTGTTTTCTTGTTTGTACTTTTGTTTCAAATTGCTTTACGCGAAACGAGGGGAATGCAGTGTTGGTCCTAGGGTGTTTACCACGTGAGAAGGGTTAGTATGTGTATTTCTGTTATCATAAATATGGTGTAGTTTTGCTAGTAAAACGTGAAGCAATATGCACTTTGTGATGGTGGTGATGGGGGATAGGCCTAACGTAGGCCAGGCGCGTACGCAGGATTTTTTTCAAGGGGGGGGGGGGAAACAAAAAACAAACAAAAAAAGGAAACAAAAATCAGGTAAAAGTTTGATCAGTTTGACATTACTGAGGCATTACAATTCGCACCACAAGGTGTAAGAACTTATTTCCTCGTTCATGGTGTTTTAGAAGTAAGACAACACAAAATGCATGAACTCTTTACATAGTATGAACATATTTCTGTTTTTTTTTAAACACTAAATCAATGTATCTTTAACATACCAAACAAATGATAACTAAACGTAGTTATATTAACATAGATAATAAGACATATATGTAAGGTGATCGATGTCATACAAATATGAATATCCTTTGGTACCAATAATCGTTATCTTGTACTTATGAATTAATACAATGCCATTTATGTGACCGGTTTTTAACATGTTCAACTTTCGTTATTTCCGTCCGAGGTCATTATTTTCCAAATGATATATGAGTTGACCTTTAATACCCGCTTCCTTCCTTTGCTTTTCCTCGGAAAGAGACTGTTTACTCAGCCGGTGAAGGAAAGGCCATTAAACAAAAATATACATGTTTAGCGTCCCCGCGCGCTTCCATTTTGGGGGCCGCCTCCTATTTTTTTTTTTAAGAAAAAAAGAAAAATTACCCTACTGTAAGCGAAAGAACCTCCTCCTTCCTATTTTTCGAAAAAACAGAACGCTATACATGTTTGTTGTTTTTTTTTGGCCAAACACGCTGTATCACAAACAAAAATTGCGAGAAAAGGCTTTTTTTTAAATAATACACTTTATAAATAAAAAATGGCGTTATAATTATATATGTATATATTTACTGCTTAGTAAAAATTATTTAACTTTCCTTCATTTTCAAACGTAGACAATCAGAAATATGAATGGATGTCTGAATATTCTACTGTTGCTATTTTAACTACGCACAACACATTTGTTTACGAAAGCTGTTATAACTTCCTTTAAAGGGACTATGTCCCTTTTGCAGCCAACATCAAATTCTGTAGAACTTTGCAGGAATTATTAACATTTCATGTATCTAAATCAGTATTATCTTTCAAATCCCGTTTGGAATTTAACCTTTTCATTTGTTTGGCCTGCAAATGGGACATATTAAGTGATAAATTTTGTTGGTGTGGAAAGTAGGCCTAGAATACCTATCATGGTATTTCCTGCTCCAACAACATGTGATGTTTTATTGGCATGGTAACAAAATACATCTCACTCCGTTAAAAGGGAAGTCTAATATCCTAAATCGTTCAAATCCCGGGAACAGAACTAACGTCATTAGCTACGACATTTGAATACGTTTATCACTGTATACCGGTCTACTAAAGGTGTTATTTGGGAGAAACATTATCATTTATGTAGCAATGAGGGAATAACATAGGAAATCGGTTAACAGACAATAATATTATGCAAGTATAAGTAAAAAAAAAAAAAAAAAAAAAAAGTACAGCAACTGGAACGCCAAGGACAGAAAGGGTTAACTAAATAACTGCGTCAAAAAGCCTTCTGTCCCAGTTCAAGTGGGTGTAGCCTTTGTACACAAAGTACTTAAAAAAAAATATTCAATGAAAGAATGCAACCTGATATAATCTTAAAATTTATAAAATCTCCCATCAATTAACGCAACACTTTTAATTTGGGAGAAAAAAATAAAGAAGGGGAAACAAAGGAGAAAATGATGAGGTAAAGAAAGAAAAAGCTGTACAGCGTAACATAAAATGAAACAAAACGAGATTAAAAGAGAGGGATGAAAGTTACCCCCTGGACAATCACCCCCGCCCCTCCCAAGGCCATTTACCAACGGGACAAATACCCCCCAAAGGACAATCCCTGAAAATTACCACTCCCAAGGACAACCACCCCCGAGGACAATCACGCCCCTCCCCGAGGACAATTACCCCCCCCCACGCCCACACACACACACACACACACACACCATGTTCACCGTTTGCGCGGCCATTTTGAAATGCGAGAGCAGTGACCAGAAGACGACAGAAAATTCGGTCTAGATCTCGTCCAATAGAGACCAATAGAAGTAAAACCCATAGAGACCATATTCAACGATCAGAATCTTGTTGGACCAATAGAAATCTATATGGCTTACATAGCCTTTAATATTATATGGAAACAGACCGATAACATAACCCACAGAAACCGGCGCTTGTTCAAAAGTGTATCCAAACTTTGACCCGTGACTCCGCCTTGGAGATAACCTACTATAACATACCAAAAGTCAACAAATCTTCAACAATTGTTCAAAAAGTGAACATGATTTAAAAGGCGTTACCTTTCTTTAAGCTGTTTCGTGTCAAATTTGTGTCTTTTTAGAGTATTTTTCATTTAAAACGAAGACATTATGATATGTACTTTCTCACAGGTTTCACTGCAAACTGCTGCACAATACAAGTGCATACCGACGATGGGTTGCGGGCGGATGCTCATGTCTGCGTGTATTTATCGACCTTAAAGGTAATACAAAGTTTTTGGAAATTGTGAAAATTGGGTGGATAGCGGTTCTTTACAATTTTGATATATTTGGATGCCCCTGTGGATGTATTAAAAGCACTAGAAAACTTAGCCCCTAAACTACTTCTGCTTTCGAGAAAAATTGAATATAAAAATTTACCGGTGCTCCCGGTAAATTTTGATAAATTTCAAATAGCGCCTACGGCCGTACAGTTGTTTAGTTGATATATATAATTTCCGAACGGGAACAACTAATCGGTAGATTTTAGTCAAGAAATATTGTTTATAGCTTGATTAATATCTTGACCTTGAGAGGGAGCTATACAACATAAAGAGCTTATTATTTACAATTGCATAACTTTAGACTCGATTTCAATCACGACAACGATCATTGAATATTGTAGGACCTCATTATGCATCCAATATGTTCATTTGAACCAAATTCATGACCCCATACCAAAACGTTGTATTACCTTTAATGATGATCTGCCAGACAGAAGATAATAGTTGCCAATTTGAGTATATCGAAAATGCATGAAATTAAATAGAATGGTCTTAATTACAGACTGGTCTTATTCGTTACTATTATGTTATTATTGTGTTGGTGGGGGGGGGGGGTATTTATTTACAAAAAATCGGACGTATCGTAGTTGAGAAAGAGTTCCTTAACCTTTCTCGGCTATGATACGTCCGACTGAAATTGAAGTTTGTTTTTCTCTTTATTTAATACAGAGCCTTTATAAAGCGACCCTCTTCCCCCTGTGGCTACGCCAATTATATTCCCTTACTCTTTCTCGACTACGATACGTCCCACTGAAATTCATATTGCTCCGGTTGTCTCATTTTCGCCAGCACAAACGTAGCTAGTTCGCATATATAGCAGACGGCAATCGGCGGATCAGACGACACTTGATAGGGATTTTGTATGTGAGATTGCTTTTCTAAATATAAAATACAAGAATCTTTTCCATATCTTTTAACTATCATTGATATCTGGTAATTAAATAGTTAGTAAAATAAACCTACCAAACTACATAATACAATTTATATACCTCACTTAAGAAATCCAGCCATCTGATTGGTCGAATTGCATTCATAAACTTTAACTGTTCCTGTAAAATTCTCGGTAACCATGCATAAAACATTTCAATACTTTTAATAACCATGGTTATTAAAAAAAGTTGGTCAGCCTCCATGGTTACCCCATAGGTTTACATGTTAAAAAATGGTTTGAGCGATGGAGGATGCCGTATGTGTGCGAAGGATTGGTCGGTAATTTCAATACAATTGAATCTCGATCGATCTTACCGACAATTTTATCTTGCATTGTTGACATGAAGACGAAAATAAACTTCCAAAAACAAAAAAACAACATCTGCCGATAGATCTTGATCTAAGTTCGTGCCAATATGCATTGCAAAAGTAAAAGAAGAGTCCGTATATGGAGCTTTTGCGAAGCATTCATCACACGCGAAGCCGGTTTCAATCCATTTTGATGTATATATTGGAGAAAACTGCCAATCATGTCAACGGCGGGCCATAGCCGAGTGGTCTAAGCGTTGGTTATCGGTACACCTCTTGTTGTACGCAAGGGTTCGAATCCCGTCTTCGACAAAATGATAAATATTTTTAATTTTTCATTTTTTAGTCTATTTTTTTTCGGCATATAAAAGTATTAATGACTGCTTTAATATTCGAGAAATAGTTGTTTTCATACGCTCTCGGGAAGGTTACAATTGGGCTATTCCCCTCGGCAAGCCTCGGGGAATAGCACAATTCTAACCTTCCCTTGAGCGTAATAAAACAACTATTTCTCTCAAAGCAGTCATTAATACTATATAAATACTTGACTGAAGTAGGGGAGTTTGATGTGGTGCACAATTGCACCCCTCTGTTAATAATCGAATAGTCCATGGTGTTCATGAATATTCATGTTTTTGCTTACCTCGGCAAAATGCTTGCCTATAATACTAAATGGAAAAACTAGAAATTTAATTCGTCATGGGGACGAATTAGGTGGTCTGTCTTCAAGTCTTATGAGAGATTATAATATTTACTATATTGAGAAAGGGAGAAGTTA